GAGAAACTGGAAACTAGATTTTTTTTTTTTTAAACGAGATCTGTGTTTGGGGCACATCTGAAATACTGACCTCTCTTAGTTTTGTCCCAGCTGCACACTCAAACCTGGTCTGTTATCTTGTAGAAATCCAAGGTCAGTTGTACAGTTCAGTCCTCAAAAAATATTGAGGAATCTTAATCTAACTTTACTTCCAAGCAAACTGTTGGCAACACTTCTGTCAGCTGTTTAGAATCTCTTTTCCTGTAAGCGTTGAGTTACAGAAACTTCCAAAGTTCCTTTTTTCAGGGAAATAAAAGCTAAAAAAACGTAATTTTGATCAAGTTTTAGCCTAAACAGTTGGTTTGTTTAAGTTGGCATGCATCAGATGGCATGTGGGTTTTCCTGCTGCATTCTGTTTGCTTTGATCATGTTGTGTCCAGTCTTTAATGTGTAGTATTCCCCTAACAGGCAGCTACTTCACTAAGAAACCACACACTTTTTTTTTTCTGGCTCCTGAGCTGAAAATCAGGACCTGTAGCATGATACTGCTACAGGATTAGCCCAAAACTAAACAGCCTTTGGGACCAAAGAACTATTTCTTCCTGCTGTCAACATGTATTTGGATATTTGATTTGGTCTCTTCTACAGCTAATGCTGACACAATGTCTCAGACTGGCTGAGCTAGCTAGAACATAAGCCTTAGGGATAAAGTGATTTGCTGTGTGGTGAGGCTGCTGAATTTGGTCCTGGCTGGGGAGTACTCAGAAGCTGCTTTGACACAGATCAGGGCTAGTAGATGGTAATATGAGGTCACCATTGCCCAAGGTAACTGTGTAAACTAATTCAGGCAACTGTACTCTGGCTTAGGTATGCTGGTTTTTTCTTTTTTCTTAACAGTACACTCTCCTTTACAGAACCCTAACGCCAATCCCAGACCCACTGCCCAGGACCTAGCTGGGTTTTGGGACCTCTTGCAGTTGTCCATTGAAGACATCAGCATGAAATTTGATGAGCTCTACCATCTAAAAGCTAACAGCTGGCAACTGACAGAGACACCAGAAAAGAAGGTGAGCATGGGGCATTTCAGAGCAGCCTTTAAAACTTTCCTTCCAGCATTCTGAGTGGGCAGTTGATTCTTAACTTCGTCTCATGGACTAGATCTTTTTTAATTCTTGTGGCCTTCTGCTTGCAGCATACTAGACACATTATTGAGCCACTTTTTAGCAGTAAGATTCTTGGACTTAAAGGGTAATAAAGATGCTGCTCTTTTTATGATCTTCAGGGACATATATCAGACCTTGGGTAATAGTTCAGGGGTGTGCATTGCCAGAGTTTTGAAGAACTCTGAAACCTCCCAGGATAAACCATTTCAAGGTAAATAAAGAAACAGTGATTTAGTGTGCACTTGCATTGAGAGAAGTGATAGACAGTCCTTTTTGTTAAATGGCTGTTGAATTAAATAGGCCTTTGTCTACTGAGTAGGATGTAATAAGTACCTACTGGAACTGTTTTCAAGTGAAACATGCGCTGTGTTTCTGTGCCTGCTTCCTAGATCAATTCTGAGATGGGGCTGGAAAGTATGTGAACACAAACTTGCTGTAAATCAAAACCTTATATTGAGCACTACAATCCTAACACTAGGAAATCTGGGCCCATCCTTTTTTGAGCATTTTGGCAGTGCATCCAACACTTCACTGTCAATCAGTTCCACATCTGAGGTTAAGGCTTTTTAGCTAGTACTAAAAACAGTCTCCAGGGCTATGAAATAATGATGAACAGGAATAGCGATCGGACAGCAAAATTGCAAAAAAAAAAAAAAAAAAGAGAGAGTTTTCAGTGATGATGCTGCATAGCCCCTGGGTA